TTTTTCCTCTCCATATGGCACACACTTTTCTCTCAAACTCTTGCCCATATTTATAGAGATTTTTAACCTCCATAATTGCTTGGAAGAGTCAAAGTTCTACCACCTTCATTTGCTAGAATTCTCTACACATTTGGCTTGTCAAGTAAATGGAGAAAGAAAACTTGAATTTCTCAACCTCCCTTGTATGCATGCATGGAGTCTTTCTTAACAATTAAGAAATCAACAACCTTATCGATTTGGTCAAAGAAAATGTGGCTATCATTAGTTGGAAACTCCAATTTTGCCACCACCACCACTTGCATGTATATATGTATTTTTCTTACTTGTTAAGTAATGTTTTATGATCAAGAAATGTGACATTATTTTCAACATGAGGAACCAAACCCCTCAGCAGCATGTTGCAGTGGGCTGCAACAGCTTGCACAGAGTGTGAAATCTGTTGATGACAAGAAGGCCATTTGCCGGTGCCTCAAGACCCGTTAAGAACTACGCCGGAGTTCAAGACAAGTTCTTCAGCAATATCCCTGACGCTTTCATGATCAAAGTTGGCTTCCCTGTCTCCATTAACACCGTGAGACGTGAGTGCCATTCTGTAACTTATAAGTTAAAAAAGTTACATATAATAAGTAGATTTCAAAACGAGATCTAACATTTTTATTTTTGTTTTGTGGGGTTTGCAGGATCCATTAAGATGAACTGGAGCTGATCAAAGATTTGGAGTTATGCCATATTTAGTTGAATAAAAAGTTCCATGGTTTAGAGGACTTGTGGAAGTTCTAGTTGGCATTTTACTGTAATACCTAATTTGATTGTTCTATCAAGTTAATTTAAATTTGCTTAAATTCTTGCATTTCACTATATTTCTAATTCATGAAAGAACAAAAACAAAACAATTCTAGCGAACAAGTAAAACTAGGTAGAAATATATTTGCTCAAACCTAATCGTGACAAGTATTATTCAGAATCCATGAATACATCACAACCCAATGGTATAAAATCCAACAATTAATTAATTGTTATTCTCAAGTTTCAGCAGACTCCCACAGTATTAATATATTTACCATTTCATTTGATACTTCACACATTTATTTGTAGTTACAAAATTAATTGCCTTTAACATGTCGCGGTGTCACGAATTAATTTGGAAAATAATCCACAAATTGGGATTTATTAGGCCGAGGGGCAGCCGTACAAAGAGAGAGAGTTGAATATCATTCTGTAGGCAATTAATTTTGTAAGTAGATAAAGAGAGATTGTAATCAACTAGATAGACGACAATAAAAGTTTTACGATTTTAAGAGGAAAAATACTGTAATTATTTATGAGAAAGTCCAAAATTCCTAATTCCAAGTCTCCCACTACTCTACTCAGCAGCTTAATTTTTACTATTTTAGAATGAAGTATATATTTAGTTGATTAATAACCTTCCTCTGGACAAGGGGGAGTTTATAATAATAAATTGTAATAATTTCACTAAACATGGAAACGAATGCATGAATTTATATTTACAATTCTATTGGTATCAACTTGGATCGGATCCTTTACTTGAACCCCTCCTTCAGTTGGCATCATGCCTAATAAGTTATAAGCTCGATAAAGTGGACTAGTAGAAAAATAAAAAATAAAAATTTCCATGACAGACTAACTCAATGAAATAAAAAATATAATGAGATTCGTCTTTGCAATAGATTTTGACGTAGCAATTTAAAATACGGGTAACCCAAATTTCTGTGCAATAGTGAATGTGAGACTGAATAAGGTATATTAATGTATGTCTTATATTTGTTGCATTTTTGCTTCCCTTTACCATTACTTGATATGTCTAATGAACGAATCCCCCTAGGGTTTTCATTTTTTCAATTGATCCATCACACTGGTGGATAATGCTAGAAAGAACAAAGTAGAAAATGCAAAGCTTTGATCTCACCTTTAGACAATTTAGAATAAAAATCTTCAAAGCGAAAGAATGTACAAGATTACGAGCATGAACATGCCATCTAAAGAAAGGTTGAAGGAGGTGGAAGGGTGGACGGATTTTGGTATGCTTGACTCCGGGTATGCCACCCGACTCAGCCGTTCCACCATGAGGAGTGATGTCGTCGTGTGGCATACAGGGAGCCAGGCATATTCTATCACACATTTTCTTCATCCTCCAAACCTTTTCTTCATCTAGAGAGAAAGATTTGTGTGTGTGTGAGAGAGAGAGTGGGGGTAGTGAGTTAAATGAGTGGAGGAGGAGGAGGAATATATAGTTACCATGTATGCGAAAGAATACACGTATTACAAAAACACAAATTATGAAAATCAAATCTCAAGAAGATGGAATGTAATCCACTGTCAATCCAATCTTTAGTTTTCCACCTCGTTCTTTCTTCATAATTATTAATTACAATGACAACAATACCATCACCGTTGGATTAGTTCGGTAAAATCTTAAATGGTTGAATTTTTACGCTGTCACCTAATTAGCAAATCATTTTTGTACATTTAATGGAAAATCTCTAAATCTCAAATACTATACTAGAACCTTCGTTTTTGCTACCACTTGTATATGTTTTCACCGAGAAAGAAAGTGAAAGTGTAAAATGTCACCTAGACATTTTTCGTGAGAGCATAAAGACATAATGACTTGACGTCATCTTAATTTTCAACCTATCATCGGTAATTTGTTCATGATTCTTACCATGGAAATGAATAGTATTTAATAATTCGCTGGTAATGATGGTAAAGATAAAATAGCAAATAAGAGGTGACCTCTAGTTCATTTATATGTTTTAAACACATTGAACGTTACCCATGTCATTGATTTTCTACATTGTTTGGTAGATCAACAATCCTTTTTCGAGTCATATTTAGCACTTTCTAAGCATGCAGTTTAAATGTTTTGATTGCAAGCTTTTGATTTGCAACTTTTCTTTCACCATCGAAATAAAGAGAATTGCTTATTTCTTAAGAAAACTTTTGTCAGGCATGCATGACTCTATAAATACGTGATGCCAACCAAAGACGTGACCTCTGGTTCATTTATATGTTTTAAACATGTTGAAAGTTACCCATGTCATTGATTTTCTACATTGTTTGGTAGATCAACAATCCTTTTTCGAGTCATATTTAGCACTTTCTAAGCATGCAGTTTCAATGTTTTGATTGCAAGCTTTTGATTTGCAACTTTTCTTTCACCATTGAAATAAAGAGAATTGCTTATTTCTTAAGAAAACTTTTGTCGGGCATGCATGACTCTATAAATACGTGATGCCACCCAAAGCCTCCGACTATCATCTTGTCCTCCATGTTTCTGCTCGTCTCTTACTTTTTTTTTTTTTTTTTTTTTTTTTTTTTATAAGGTGTCCAATTCTTGACTAATCATTGGGTCTGTGATCCGGCCCCTCTTCACACAGTCTAGTTAATCGCAGGATGTGCCTCCAACTAGACAGGGTCCGAGCCCTCCCCGCCTGATCTGCCAAAGTGCCAAGCAAGTCAATTCAAGTTGCATCTTGCCTTCCAAGAATAATCCTTGCCTTCCAAGATTTCTCTTGCATTCCAAGAATAAATCATTGCCTTCCAAGAGCCCCATCTCTTACTTTTTTATTATATAGAGAAGAGTGTTTATAATGTCAATGTTTCTTTTATATTATTTTTATGTTTAATTTATTATATACCGTTGAAATAAATTGGACGAAAGAGTTCAAAAGACACAATGTTATAGCTACGTAAGAAAAAAGAGTTTCATCTTACATCTAAAACATATGATTAACTATCTATTGCCTTAATTCATTTATAATATAGGATTTACATCTCACTTAAATTATAAGAGTATAATTTCTTCCAACCATAATTAGCCCTTGTTTGACCCCCATTAAATTCAATTACATTACATTTCATTTTTCTATCTCCTATTTTCAACCACACAATCTTTCATAAAATAATATTACACGTAAATCGAAAATTTTTCCTTCTTTTTCAACCACTCATTTTTCAAAAAAAAACTATTCCACCAATTTTCATTTTTAGAAAATGGGGGGCCAAATAGTAGTAGTAATTGTTGCTACTAACCATAGACAAAATGATTTTTTTTCAGCTCAGACCATGTTGCCTGGGCTACAAGATTAATTATTGTGGGTCAAAGATTAAAAAGGAAGCTCATGATTCAGAGCACCAATTAAGGTCGACTTAGTATAATATTCAATATTTTTTTTTTTTAAACAAAAGTAACTTTTTAACTGAAAATTCTACAATTTTGTCCAAATATAATTATTAAAATTATCTTAAAAATATGGTTTGAGAGTTAATCTTGGTATATAAATAAAAGTTCTTAGGAATCTTTCACTAATATGATTTGTCAAGAATCAATACTGAGACAGAGTGAATTACCCAAATGGTCACTGAACTTTATAAAACATTTTCACCGGGTCACTGAATTTTAAAAATCACTCAATTCATCACTGAACTTTACTAAAGGTTTTCACGGGATCACTGAATTTTAAAAATCACATCATTCATTATTGAACTTTGCAAAAGGGTTTCACAGAGTCACTGAACTTTGTAAAATGTTTTTCAAGGGTCACTAATTTAGTGATCCCTGGAAAACTTTTTGTAAAGTTCAGTAATGAATTAGGTGATTTTTAATTTAGTGATCCCGTAGAAACTTTTTGGAAAGTTCAGTAATGAATTTGATTATTTTTAAAGTTCAATGATTCGTGAAAACTTTTTACAAAGTTCAGTGATCATTGAATAATTCACTCACTGAAACATAATTTATATTATAGGTACAAGAATAACACAAATTAAAGAAAAATCAATAAAATGTCGTGTATCATAGATATTTGGCACCCTCAAAAATTAAACGCTAAAAAAATATACGATAATTAAGGAATAAAATGTATTACCTTTTTAAGAAGATTATCAACCAAAGCGCATGGTGCAGATAAATTATATTAATGAATAGTCTACTTATATTTCAATTTCAGATAATTATAATCTAATCTATGAAATGACACATTTTTACCAATTTCGATTCACAAGCAAATTATTTCCAATTTTACTCTCGCCGCTGTTCCCTTTTCACTTTTCTTGCTTTCATGTTTAGTGCCTCTTCTGCAAAAGCAAAGTCGCCTATCACATGTATGTTTTCAGGGTGGAATGTCAAGAGGAGCAACTACAAAAAGTGGGCCGAAACGGCTCTTAACTATGTATAAATATAATTAATTTTTGTGTAAACTCGGGTTTTGCATGAAATTGCATTGTTCTTGGACTGTAAATTTTTTTTATCCAATCATTAGAGAATAGATTACGTTTTAGGATGTTAATAACACAAATCGTGAATTTCAAATGTGTAAAACTCAGTTGATCGGTTTACAAACTTACTGGAATTTACTTCCCTTATTATTCATGAGTTATTTTTTTTTTTTTTCCATTTTCCGTGATTAATCGATAAGTTTTGTCTTATTTTGCCGCTGTCACTTTTCATCTTTAATTTTATATAGAAAAACTTGAACAAACAATTTGTTGAATTTCTTTCGGCGATTTAGATGAACTTTGAAAATGATGAAATCTAGCAAGGGGAGATTTTTTTTCACCTGGATTGATTTGATCGATGATTCGACCGAGAGTAGTATAGTAAGTCCAAGAATTTGCTTCGAATTCGATGGCGGATTTGACAATGTTTACAATCAAAGGGCAAAGCTTTGGCTCTGCCGCTCTTTCTCTCTCTCTCTTTCTGTCTTTTACGCACAAGTACATTTTCTTCAAGAACCACAAGCATATACCTTTTTCTATTCCATTCTCTGTGTGTATTTACTGGCGGACTCTCCAGGAGGATTCCAACTTCTGCTATCATGAAGCCCAGCGTCAATCAACAGGTAAATTGCTTCTCTGTTTCATATGTAAGCATTGCATGCATAGTTAATTCCGTTTGGTTTTGTACTTTAATGATTTGCAGCAGTTCTATCCGCTATATTTGTAAAGGCACAATGAATTTTCTTAGAGGGAGGGATCATAGGGACTATGGCTTTAAGGCTTTGATAAGAATCAAAGCATCTTGTCTGTTATGGTCACGTTATAACTTCACACTTGTACGGTGTAATCAGCTGGTGAAAAGTGAATAGTTTGGGCTAAACACATATTCTTTCTGGTTGTTGGATTTATATGTGTGTATATCTAATGTCGTGTTTATGTAGAAAAAAGTGAATATAATTTTGCTGGAGCTTTGAGTATCTCACTTTCTTGATTAGAGTTGTGAGATTAAGGCCAGTTATGATGGTCCACTTAAATGTTGGGTTGCTATAATGGGATTTAGATTGAAGCAATTGCGGTGCTTCAAAGTAAAAGTAGCAATTTTGATATTGGCTCTAGTTAGATGGTATAGGAGAAATGAGGATGAGAGAGAAGAGACAAGAAAAGTAGATATGAGTTAGAATATAGAAGGAAAAATGATATGAGTATGGAAAGATGAAGACAATGTGAAAAAAAATTCAGCTGAGCCTCAAAATTGATGAAGTATTTCATGGCCATAGACTTCATTTTTGTTGGTAGAAATAAGGTTCTATTTAATTTATAAAATGTGGAAAAATAATAGAAGAATTGAGGGGAAATCTGTGTGGATGTGGAAGAATCTGCTTAGAAATTACCCAACTTATCGAAATTTTCTTCCATTTTGGAGCTTGATTGTATGATCATTAAACCGTTGTTATCCATTGCATGAGATAAATCAGTATCTTTTAATCTCACCTTGTTTTTTCTTCATCTGCTGCTAATTTAATCAATAAAAACAAGACAAGGACAAATGATCATATGATCCTATAATTCTTATTCATGCCCATTAATATTTAATATCTCCATAAGTTACGGCCCCTTGTTTTTAGAGCAGCAACTATTTGCACTAATAAATCTAATTGTACACAAGCAAATATGCATCATTGCTTTTGTCTAATTATTTATTTTTCCCCTTCTAAGGAAAAGTACATTCGTGCCCGTGATAACCCTTTTTTTGACGGGATGAGAAGAGGTGAAGCAGCAGTTCTAAATGGGGGTAGGATCTTTGACTTCCCGGAAAAATTATCTGGCAAAACCATTTACAGGTCAGCCTCAGACATTGGTGATCGAGGGTCCAAAGAAACTAATGATGCCATATCTGAAGATGTCGATTACAGTCCAACACATCCACCCTCAGACATTGTTCTTGAACCTATTGGAAGATCATTATCTGGGAGGTGGTCGAAAACTTCATCTCCGCTGGCAGTTCCTCTGTCAAATTCAGAAGTTGACTATGATGGCGTAAATATGTCATCAACAATTTCCAATCCGAATGACTGCAATGAAAATGAAGAGTATCTTAGTCTGACTGGCTTGGCAAGGCCTGGGATTGAAAGATCATACACAGTGAGTAAGAGAGGAACAAATCTATCTAATGTTCCTCTTCCTCCTTCAGCAGCACTATTTTATTATGGGAATTCACCACACATGGAAGTTGTTGAATCATGTGAAGGTGTCTGTAAGCTGAATATGTATCTGAAAGCTAAAAGGGATTATGTGACTGCTGGCATTCCTGGAAGGTTCTTGCATGCTATAATTGGGCCAGATGTCTCTGGTAACTCCCATTTTTAGTTGGATTGGGACAATTCTCAGGGTTCTCTGTCCTTTCTTCTCTCAGTTCGGATTATTTTTGTTTAAATTGCAAACATGAAATTAGTTATCTGTAATTGTCAGAAATGATAGGTGAAATATTCTTTCCTGTTAACTGATGGCTGTCGGCATGACAAAACTTTAAGCTGTTCGTGCCCCTTTTTCTTTTGGGTTGGGGGTGCGTTGTTGTGGATAATCTATTTTTTGTCAGGCTGGTTATATGACCTAATTGATGTTCTTCCATCAATTCTTTTGGCAAAAGTCGTGAGCTAATTATACTCAAGTTCTTCAGAAAATGTTCTAACTTAAACTAAAATCAAATGTATTAGTATCGGGACAAAGACTATATCATGCTTCTTCACTGTCGAAGCTGTACTTTTGAAGTCCCAATAATTTTGTTTTGGGTACATTGTTTAAAACACAGGATAGTTGGTTAACTCTCTGATAAAATATGAAACCTTTTGTGATGTTACTCTCTCTTTTGATTTGTGCAATGATGTTTCTGATTGCAACATATTATTATCTATAAGTTGGTCTGAGCTATTTTAAAAATTTTCTATGATTTGAACTCCATTAAGTGGAATAGTAAAGTTCCTAAAAAAATTTATTGAGTGAATCTGAAACTAAACAGGAAAATTGAGAATGTTAAGATTACTTTCCATTTCGACATCCACTTTCATAGGCAGGGTCTTGATACAGTGAATTAGAATTGGTCAAGCAAGATGTTAACTTTTCTTTTACTTTTAGATATTCTGATCAAGGCAAGTGATTGGATATATCTGTTCTTGCTTACATTCTCTTTTATTCAACAGTTAACTGGTAAATCAATCATCATTGACTAAATATAAAGTATATGCTTGTGTATTCTAACATGTTAATATGCAGATGTTGGATCTGTGGCTTCAACAATCATGTATGCCTTTTATCTTGGCGAGACACTTAAGAGCAACCAGTTCTGTACTGTTCCGATCCTCAACATGAAGAGGGAAGATGTGGTTTCTCGTGCTGATCTCAAGTGGCTGTTTGATTCATGCCATATTGATATGTCGTGCTTAATTTTCATTGATGAGGTATGTTTATAATAATTTATTTGAATTAGATGGCTTTTACTTGTCTTGCAAATTGGCTAGTGATGGTATATCTCTTTCAAATTACCAGGTTAATTTTTGCTTCCTTTTGTCTTTTCCTGGCTACTTAAGATTTTCTAAATCCTATTGATGGAGAATTTGTTAAAATCCCCGTCTTTTCTGGTCTCCTATCAAATATTCACTTTTCTTTCCTTTTTTTATGATATTGAGCAGATCGACTTGCACTATTATGATTTGTTTGGGAGTCTTAAACTAGTGTTACTCAACTGTGATAAGCTTCCATCCAAACAAGAGGTAAATTTCTTAACTTTTGATCCACTCATTTTGCTGCTAACCTAATCGATATGACGAGTATTTACCACTTTTGGAGCAGGCGCTGAAAGAGGCTTTGGTTGAAATCTTTCACTGCGGAAAGGTGTTTTAGATGATTCGTTGTGGTTTAACTTTAACACACTTAAAATCTGTACAAAGAGTATTTTGACATGACTTCGTCTTTTTAGCAGTCTGATACTTCATATTCTTGGGTTGATTACGTCATCATGGGACAGGTACTACAATTATAGCATAGCACTGAATATTTGTGATCTTTTATTTTCTTTCTCTTTAAATCATATTTGAAAGAGGCTAAAATCAAAGGGGAAGAGGACCTATAATCTCATTTTATAGATAAATGCATGACCTATACTCTCATGTTATAGATAAATGCATGTTCTGTGAGAAAAATTGGTGATTATTATCACTTTTATGTCAACTTTAGTTAGACATATATTTTATTCGAGAGAAATGTTTCTTCATAATCATTTTGAGAAATTGAAGGATAAAGCTTTGGAAAATAAGTTCTTGCTTCTATTTTGCAGTGAATTATGCCTTTTACTTGTCATTCACAACAAAATGTTTTGTCTTGCTAAAATTATTGAACAGTACTTAATTTGAAAGCTGATTATAATATCAAAGGAGTAGGCATATAATATATGTTAGTATACTCCTACTTCACAGGATTGCTCCCTCTGGAAAAGAACATTCGGATACTGAAAAAGAAAACCACTTCAAAATTATAATGTGGGAAAAAAAATCATGTTGAATGCTCATATGCATCCTTGACTAAAAGATATGCAGTAATTCTTGGTTATATTCCATTCTTATAACTTACAAATATGCTTAATGTGATGCTTTCATGTACTTTTACAGGATGCCTCCTGCTGCACAGTTATTGCTGAAAAATTTGCATTGACATCACCAGAGATATTGGCAGGACAAGGATTTAGTCGACTTCTGGTACCTCGCGATAAATTCTCAATTTTGTGTTTTTGTAGCCATTTAACTTAGATACAAGAGTTCCTTAATTCTTAAGCCTTCTATAACTGCCGTTGTATGAATTTTGAACTCTTGAACCAGTGTTTCTAGTCTAAAGAATAAAGATCATGTGGTCAAATTTAAACTTTGATTCCACATTAATGAAAAATTAATGTCTTTATTTTTTTCATTTACTCCCTCTTTTGAATGACGATGATTTTATTCCTCAATGCAAATATAGGTATGTGCTCAGTTTTGAAAAATATTTCCGGTATCAATTATCTTGTCATTCCACTTGCAGTTAGCAGGCATTCTTTTGGACACTGAAAATCTATCAAGCCCTCAGTGTACCTCCAAAGATAAATACATGGCCACGTTGTTGCTTAATGGAGCTGGTCGATATGGATGCAATGGTCTTTACCAAATTTGTAAGCCCAAATTTTTGTCACTTTTTTTCACATGTTTCCCTTTTTCAGTTTATGCATCATTTCACTGAATGAAGGGACTGATTCTGAAGCTACACTTATTTTTAATTCAGTGAGTTACAAAACGCACGGCGTATCCTACCTCAGAGTAGGAGAAATTTTGCGGAAGGAGTTCAAAAAATGGACAACGTTAGGTTTGCTTATGTCCTCCCCTTCAACTTGATGTTTGGATTTTAACACCTGCACGTAATGTTTTATCTTGAAAGTTACTAGTTCAAACCTAAAATCACCTAAAATGGGTGAATAGGTGAAAACTGCAGAATTAAAATTAACAATTAACAACAACAAGTCACTTATTAATTGTTCTAGATGTTTAGTCAATTTGTCCTATGTTGAATTGTCACAATATGTAATATGAAAGCAATAAAGAATACATGAATTGTTGACGGAGAAACCCAACTAGGTAAAACTCTAGAAACAAGCCAGTAACCTCCACTCAGGGATGTCAAACGGGCCGAGCGGAGCAGTGGGCTCAATCCCAAGAGCCGAGCCTGCTCGTTGAGCCCACGAGCCATTTTTTACAAAGCTCGTGGGCTCATCAAAAAATATGTGAATTTATATAAAAAAAAAAAAATCAAAAAATGTGCAAATTTACCTAAAGAAATTTTAAAAATTTTAAAAATTCACGAGCTCGCGAGCGGCTCGTGGGCTCGGCCTGCGAGCTCGTGGCTCGTGAAAGCTTGTGAGATTACAAACCAGGAGCCCGAGCCGAGCTCGTGGGTTAGCTCGACCCATTGCCATCCCTACGGCCCAACTATAGATAATATGAACTTACAGTGTAATTCAGCCTGGAAAACCCACTAGACTTGATGGTCTAATTCCTACAATCTCCAAGATCCGCTGGAACGTGCTTCACTCACACTTATTCTCGATCTTCTAAAATTATCTATCTTCTATGGGTCACTATGAATGCCTTGTTTTTGTATTCTTCCTGTGCTTCTGGTCCAACCTTCCTTAATTTTCAGCAATCTCTAAAAACTATTTAGAAAGTACCTTCATGTATGGGTATAAGAAGGTGGGTGTTTTGGATTATGTGAACTTGATGTTTTTCCCAAAGTTGTGGTTGTATAAACTCAAGAATCAAAGCATTAATCTAAGGCTTGAATCTTTGAATGATGTTATGAAGGAGAAATATAATGAACAACCACCACAAAATTCGTGTTAGAGTTTGGGTATATATAGTAGAAGGTATTTAGGTAGTATGGGCTGATTAAAACTCTTAAAAAATGGGAACTAGAGTTTTGCGCGTAACACCATCGCTCAAGAAACAAGCTAGGAACAAGTGTGTCACTCGAGCAATAGCTAGTTGACAAGCGGGCGACATGGTTTCTGTTTTTTTCGCTCGAGCATCATATGGGCAATAGGCTAGCGTAAATCCGACGGCTCTTTCATCTTTGTTCCAAACTCGAACTTTATATACCTAGTTCATTTATACAACATCTCACTTGACTCCTTAACTTTTACAACTTGTTATATTAATCACTTTGTCTAAAGAATTACCAATACAATAAATGCCTAACATATCTCATCCATGTTTTCTTGAAATTTTTGATGGGGAATTAGATGGAATGTAAATATTTCTAATTCTCAATTTATTTACTTACTATTAAATATATCACCCAGTTTTAATTTTTGCTCTCAAGTGAATAGGCTGAGAAATTGTGTTTCTGGCTAATGAAAAATTTGTGTACATTGGTAAAACTGCTGGACACATACAAAGTATATTTGATGATTTAACTGTTTCCCAAAACCATTACCACAATAGTGTATTGCTGTTATCATCATGAGCAACAAATGACGGGAAATAAATCAATTGTTGACTACTACCTGTCCAATGAATTCCATGAGTTTTCATATAATAAAAATAAACAGTTTTTTCCTGATCTCTTTGATGATGTTTTACTGTAATGCTTTCAATATGTTGGTCTTTATGGAGAATGCTGGAATTTGAATGGTCGTATATAGGGGGTGAAAACCATATAGAGGCATATCTATTGTTAGGAGAATGTACAAATATAAATGAAAATCAATTCATGGTAATATGGATTCAGATTTTGAAAATTTTACTGCATAAATACGTTGTTTAGAATTTTACTTGATAAACACCTTGTATATCTTAAACTAAGAATATGATGGAGGACCAAATCATATACATTTGATATCTCACTTTAGACGCGAAAGATTAAATTTGGCAATGAGTTGACTTCTCTTTTGTAGCTCTTTATGACAGATTTTTTATATGAAAGTAACTCTTTGAATTTTATTTTTACTTTTTGAGACTATTTTAGTTTGACTTCCACATGCATCTTGCATTTGTTGTATTCTGGGTTTCCTGTAAGGCATGCAATTTACTTTGCCATTCAAAACATTACTCGTTCCACTGACCTTAAAACTTGTGGAACCAGGAAAACCAGATGGTCGTGGTCCTAGGTTGCCAGCATCAAATATAGGGATGAGTTCAATTGGAGTGGAAGTTGCACAACTTCTATCACATGACAAAACTTCAACACAAGAAATCATCCAATTCCAGCGTATTTACTTCTTCTAAACTATATTTCGTCTGAAGATTTAATTATCTTGAAACTAAGATTTATTATTCCTTTAAATGGTAGTCATTTATTACAAGATTGTGCAGACTATATTAATTGAGATGGCCTCAGAAAGTTTTGCAATTTGGCTTGTTTTGTTCCCAGCTATATTCTTGAAGTTTGCCCGTGTTGTCTTTCTTAAGTAATCTATTTTAACCAACGTTTAGGATTCAACTCTAATTTATAAATTTCCATTTTCATCACTTCTTACTGTTACTATATTTTTTGGTTTGCAGAATTGGAAAAACTATGCCTACTTATTGTCGTTTCTGGCTATTACGATTCTGAGAATAAGTTCAAGGTTAGGACACGACGATGACGGTGACTGGCATTCTTTTTCTTATACCCCCACCCTCGCTTTTATGCCATGCAATAAATTTCTTTTTCTTTCCTCCTTTTTTTTTGGTTTTTTATTTTATTTATTTATTTATTTTAATTTTTTTTGCTAAATGATATTTCTGAAGAGCATTATGCAATTTAAGGTTATGCCTTTTGCAACAAATGCATCATAATTAATATGTCTGAGTATTTCCAATTCTGATGCAATTTAGAGGGAAATACTGGTCTCTGCTGAATCTGCTGAGTTTATGAGAAATCTGCTACAATACCTCAATTCATATTCAGCCCAGCTGCCACTTAAAGTTAAATATCAACCAGGTCTGTTTGTTCTTATCCTTTGTACCATGTGTGACTTGCAAGCAGGTACCATGTCTGTGCCAGCACCATGTCTTAAGTAAAATTTTTACCTGAAATCAAGCGTGCACACATTTGTAGTCCTGAGCATGCAGACATAAAGATGGGGTCGTCATGATTTTCATTTTAAAATATGATATTGTATTATCTGAGTTTGACCTCATCTCCGTGCTCTTGGATTTGATCCTAGTAAAGTAAGCTTTATGGTAAGTCTTATTGAACTGCAAAGATAAAAGAGTAGTCATAAAATATGAAGGAAAGATTTAATTGTTTGACTTAGTTAATTCAGGGTTTTGCTTCAAGGTACTGAGTTATGTGCGTTATGAAATACTAAGAAATTGAACATTTTACCTAAGGTGCCATTTGACCTGGTGACAGTTCAGTGCACAAATCAACTATGGCTGGACTTACTGGTTTAGAAGTCTAGAATTATGCCTTTGAAATGTACAAAATGTATCAAATTTCTTTAGAAATATCCATCGAATTATTGTTGTATGATTAATATTTTCCTTTGACTCTGCAGGTTTAAAAGATGAGATGAGAGTGTTTGAGATAGATAAAGTTACATCAAGGAGGACTATTGAAAAGCTCCTCGAAGAATATAGTGTTGTATCGAAATGAACTTGTGAAATTATTGGAATGCTAAATTAAACAGTATCCCTGCATTAGCAAAGTGGAAGGCTAGAGTTGCAGCTATTCATTTTCAAGCAGCATTTCAGTTGGCGAGTGTATTTTGTTTGAATTTCTCTTCTTCTTCTTTTTTACAAGATACATAATTTCTTAACAGCATTGTCCACCATTAGTTTCTCATAATTTAGTGAACCATTTTGCAATATGCTCAATATATTCACACCACAAAACTAATAGCAAGACTATTCATAACATTTACATATTAACACAAGTTTCAAATTTTTTTCAATCACATTCTTATTTTCGAATTAACATAAATCGCTCTTGATTATAGTTTCTTTCCGAAATTTTCTTTAAGATAAAGAAAAGATTCATTTGTCCATTGTATTTTTAAATAAACAAAACAAATAATAATGCAAAATTGCAATTAAATATTTGATCCTCATTTTAGAGCACGTTAACAATATTTTTTAACGAAAGTCGTGATTAAGGACAAGATTTTCTGATCAATGGAATGTTAAAAATAAGAATGTTAAGATGAAAAAGTTCAAGATATATTTGTGATAATGACTAAAGATTAATGACCTTTCATGTATTTAAAATGTCAAGTATTCATTAAAAAAATAAAAAATTGTGGTGCGAATGTAACCACCTTTGCAATATCATATCCGGAATATGAGAATCGTGCGAACGAGTGACAATTTCAATTTCAAATTCAAATCAAGGGAAAAAAGGCCAAAAAATTAAAATGTGAATAGAGAAGGAATCCCAGTCGAATTGAAATAGGCCTAAAACTTGATAAAGATTAGTTGAGTAAGATTCTTCATTGATTCAGTTGGCGGATGTCAAGTAAAATTATACATTAACCAGTGATGAATTCATTATAAAATTTAGTGACTAAATGGATCATAAAAAAACTTTAATGACCAACTTAATATTTCGCATAAAAACTGAACTCAAAAGCTCTTTATCGAACAAGGCCACGTCAATTTTTTTCTAATTTTTATAAAAATCTATACCATCAATGCCACAAATGATTGCACCCTGTTTATACCGATTAGGAAAAAGAATTGCATAACGAGACCAAAGAATTTTGCTATCTAGAATCCAAAAAACACGGTTAGCTGTCAGACTCTTTTTCGTATTCTTTCGCTATCTCCTCTGTCAACGTTGCAAGTGCTACTCTCCATTTGGAGCTACTCGACCCATTGCATAATATTCTATGCATTACTTCCATCTCCTGAGAATCAGCTTTCCTCAATAATCTTCGGAATATGTACTGTATCTTATCATCAGATAAAGAATTGCTGCTGCCTATCAGAACTACGTGCTTTTGCCCCTTCACCATGCCTCATTTCCACAGGGTGCTCTCTGGCAGCCAGAGAATCACCTGAAGTGGATAGCATCTTGTTCTTCCAGTATTCAATGCACTGGTGATGCGGATCAAGAGCCTCAATTGCCTGAATATGTTTGCGTTAGCATGTAAACATTTGAGAAACTAATGCAAACAAGAAATAATTTCACAAGGATCACTAGAGAAACTACAAAGTCAGGACAGAAAAATTGTAAAAAATTCCTGTCTAAACTGGGATCAGTTTTGAGTCGAATCTAGTCATCCTAATGATTGAATAGCATTTTCAAGAAATTTGGATGCAGGGGTGGTTAAAAAAAAAATACACTTTACCATTTTAATCCAGAAATGACAACCACCCAAGCCAATGATGAAGGTAAGAAGAGTTTCCAGTCAGGACTTTTACCAACCCCACATATGCAACTATTTTCCACCAATGTACAACTAAAAAGAAAAACAACAAATTCAAACTTTTAAGTTTAGCCAGATATGCTCTTATAATCTTTCCAACAGACGGCATTAACAACTAATTAGTCAGTCGCAACAAGTGACATAAAGCTAATATAGGTAAAGGTAAGGTTCTTACATGAACAATGGACGGGGAAAGAAATCCGAACATTTCGAGACCATTGATGCAAGGCAGTAAGGATGGCAGTCCTTGCTTCCCTGACGATCTTTGTGTCTCTATTTCTTGATTAAGTCTCTGCAGCACCATTTCCCAGCATTTTTCTGGAGAGACGTTCGTAAAACTTTGGTATGGATGATCTTCTAAAGTTACCTGATATTGGATCTTGAAGTCAGAAATTTTTTACATGATGTCATAATCAAGAGAAATTTCAGGCAAGCACTTGAGGACAATTTATTCTTCATTGAAAATTTAAGCACTTAGCATATACTTCATACTCCAGAATCTTTTATAGATGATCTCGATCAAATATAATAATATTCTGCATTCTTTTGTCAGATTAATTTGCTAATATTGCGTATAATATACTTATGTTAGTATTTGCATATAGCACACTGTGTTCTGTTGAAAAGAAAGAAGATGTGCGCGCTTATATATATAAGAAGAATACCTTGAACATAGGTCCAAGTAGCCCAGCATCCAGGATTTCAGATACATAGTTACTCTTAATCATAGGGTTGCATACATTGAAGAACTACACAACTTTTAAATCCTGCAACCATCCAAGTATACAATGTAAACCATTAGGGAAAAGGTCATTCCCTGGACAATCTAGTGTCTAGTATGAAAATAAAATTCCACATGCCTTGAGGGAATATGGCCTCCTTGTTGCACCACAGCTTTCCATAAACAACAGATCCAAATTTTATAGGATCCACATGGAAGCTTAACTTCTGTACAGAGTCTGGACTGACCTGACAAATCCCATTAAACAAGAAGTCCATCGTTTCAGTTTTTAATGAGCTTGTCTCTGGAACACCTGAAGGTGGACTAGAAAAAAGATCAACCCCGAGCAGCTTAGTTCCAACAGGTGCAACGCAGCAACCCATATTACTTGACTTTAGAGGAAAACCGTTGTCTGAAGCAACATTGGATACAGTCGAACCACAATCACTCCCCAGTTGTATTACATCCTGCTCTCTTTTTGAATCCAAATCCAAATTCATTTGTTGCATACCTTTTGATTCCCTGATTCCACCAGCATCTACAATCTCATTTTTACAGCTATTAAAAGCTTCTCGAGACCTGATTCTGTGGTCATCAGACGAGTCATCAAGACTCATATCAGTATGGCATTTCTGCCCTATCTTAGAATCAGCGTCTAGGCTAGGAGATTCAGGTTTATCCCCGTTTCTCGTGTTTTGAGGACTATGTACACTATAACCTGGGTTCTCAATTACATGTGACGATGTGCTAGGAATTTCCATTTTCTCAGGGAAGTTAATTCCATCTCCATCTCTAACTTGAGCCAGTATCATGGTGTCAACATTATTACTAGTTAATGGAACCAATCCAATTTCCTTGGACACCCATAATTCTACACAATCCATGCTCTCTTCCAATGCCTTAACAAGCATGTTCAACTCCTCCATGGTGTAGCGGAGAAGGACAAATCTGTTTTTTGGTTCACATGAACAGATGAAATTTGCATGTTCAAGACATGCAAACTGCTCCAAGGAACAACTGCAACAAGCAGCAGATAGGTGCAAGTCAAAGAAGCATGAAAAACATTCCCTCTCGATTTTCAGATCAAAATCTTTTTCCATCTTCCGAAAGCACGTGACTTCTGAAAGATTCTCTATTCTTTTCTCCTCTAATTGAACCCTTGTCTGTAATTTAAGAGAAAAAATGAATATCACGAGTAACAATTTAAGAGTAAACAAAAATGGGTCTGTAGATGCACCATACATGTATGTACACATTGATGGTGTAGTACAATTATGTAAATATGAAATATTATTGTAGTGGTCAACATATAAATTAACTTGATTATGGTTTCTATATCCATCAGTTCACCTTGACTGCCTTGGTAAGCATCCCATCCTTCCCACAGACACTTCTCCATCTCAAATTTTCTGAATTTTCTTTCTTCAGAACTGAGAGATCCAAAAGTGCCCTGACAGCTTCCTGAGCAGCAGAAAAAAGCAACTTATCGTGTGACAACGACGTCTTACGATGTTGTGCACTATAGAGCTCCACTGCATTCTGTCCATGTTGTAACCAATCGACAGGCGCCACATTTACAGCCTCCGCACAATTAAAGCCACAGTTAAATCCAGAGTGATAAGCTCTTGGAAAGGTAAGAACAAACTCCCCAGAATGCTGGACGGCTCGATACACTGGTACACCCTCCGACTTTAATACTGAAGGAGACAATTGAGTGACCTGTCACATACAATCCCAAACTTAAAGCATACATGAAAACAATCTTATATCAAGATGATAGAATAGCATTAAGTATCATAAATTGCAAGCCTACCTACTGTTTTAACAAGAAGAAAAAGTTTAGATATTGCATATATTATTTTATTTTTATTTTTGAATCAACGCCTACTTCTGGTATAATACTGGAGTGGACTAAAACAATACTATAAATAAGTTTTTAGCTTCTTTTTTTGTTTAACACTGTCCACATGCCGTACTGTACAGTCCACCCTACCTACAAGCCAGGAGTGATTTCCTATTGTAACCTGATATGTCAGACTTAGAAACTACATATAACTTGTTTAGTGATGCAAATACTTTCACTACCAGAAATCTCCCTCAAAAATATCGAGAGGCTAAATATTTTATTTTTCAAACAAAGGAAAACAAAAACATGAGCACACATATAGTACTTCAATTGTTGCTCATCCCCAGTGGACTTGATCTCCATGTGTTTGACTTCAGATGCACCAATTCGTTCACAATCACGCATAAGAAGAAAGTGATGGCTATGTACTAATCAGAAAAGGTTAAAAATATTGAGCTTACAAGTTCATGAAGTAAGTCAGGTTGTTCTTCAAACAGATCCGGCAAGTGCTTTCTCATTGCATCTTCCAGTGCAGAGGCATGACTTGCAGGCACTCCATACCAAACTTTTGGATCACCCCAGTGCAAATAGTTCAGTGAGTAGAGATGGTGGTCTTCAACATGCTTTTAATAAATATGCAAAATATAAACAATTGCTTCAGCTCCAACAACAAAATGACTTTCTTTATGGAGTAAGTGAAAAAAGAAAAAATTTAGCATAAACATGAATGGAAACCAATAAGCATTTCCAAATTCCTGATCTTGGAATCAAAGTTTCTTCTGAGATCACGAAACAAGTTGTATCGTTTTTAGTATTAATACAAGTAAAAATTTGAATTCGAATCTTCCAACACAAACAAACACATAGTAATCTTATATCAAAAGAACGGGTAAAAACTTTATTCAGAGTTTAAACTATAGAAGATGAACTAACATACCCAGCAGAATGAAGAGAAGCACATTCCTACGTAAAGCCAGGGTACCACCACCCCAGAGATATCGCACTCTTCAAAACGCAATACAGAACCAGGCAGACGTGGGAGGTTATTCAGATTCCAGCCTGATGTCACATATTGATCAATTACAGTGTCGGTTGATAATGATGACTCCTTAGGAAATCCACTCCTGAAGGTTCCAGTTTCCAAATCAGCTCCATAGTATACCTATTCAACATACAAAGTGGAATACAGTTTGTAAGTTATGATAATAATTTCAGAAGAATATCAATCTTATGATATCACATGTTTTCCATACCTCCACCTCATCTTCTGGCTTCTCAACAATCCGCCAGTACTCGCCTTCAATATCTTCAACCGATGGTAACAATCTTTTGCCCTCTACACTCTCGATAACACTTCCTTCTCTTGTGTCGTTAATTTTGAAATAAGATTCTTTAAATTCATCGGAAAATTTCTGAAAATCCTCGAGTGTAAAGTCTGATCCTGATTGGAAACCAAACTTCTCCTCCGAATCAGAAGCAGCATTTGATTCTAAATCTTCAGTACGGACACGTCTCCTTGGCCTAGAGCTAAATTGTGTCCTACGCTTTCTCTTTCGATGTCTTTTCTTTCTCATCGGTTCTCTATTTTGAAGTAAGTCAACTTTCTGGATTCGCGTAGAGAATTTAGCACATTTCCATGCATTCTTGTCTTTAAGGGGGCAAGGTGGACTCCATGATGGAGGAGGTACTATTCTACATATACCGTATGCCTCGGCCATGGGCCGTATGCTTTCTATGTAACCAATTGTATCTTGAAATTCCTAAACAAGAAATTATATGTCTAGAAACTTAAACATCGCTAGAAAACCAGAAGAGCTCGATTTCTATATCAGATAAAAACAAATACCTCAGCAGTTGGATGAAAGACAGGAGCTTCCTCCACAATGGGCCTGCAAGAATCAAAAGGATTCCAATTTGCTGATACCTGTTCCAAGAAAAGAGGTCCAGTGGTTATTATTGCTTTAGATGTAGGAACTAGGGAGCCCCGAGTTTGATTCTCAAAATGTTCTTTTGCTTTCCCAATTTATGTTAGCTCTTTTTTTTTTGTTTTGCCCCTACTGAAAAATAATCTTGGGTCCGCCCCTGTTGGCAACATTGTCCGTGATCCAAAAAGCTCTTCTCACCTTTTGGCTTCGCGGACTTCCTGGATTCTTGTGGATTCTGTCACTTTTCTGCACATTTCTGGGAGCATGATCCTGCAAGAAAATTGTAGTAGAATTTACTCATATCACAAGATAATTTTTTCCTCTCAGTTAACCATCACTAGTGTGTGCGCGCGTGTGCGCACTTACAATAAAGCAGAACACTTGAATAAGAAAACTCGTTCAAGAATCACATAATGCTTATCACTGTTCCTCTATTTAGTCAATAGATGTTAGGCAAATGATCTTATTCATCACAGGCAGCCAAAAACAGGAGAAATAGTGTCATGTTCTCTTGGATTCTTAATGTGTAATGCTTATGAAAGATTTATTCTTCCATTTGCATCTGTACAATACATGTAGATATACATACAATAATATCTATTGGTTCTTATGAAACAACAAGAAATGAAAATTATACTTCATAAGAACGCAAGGCTTCCATAAACTCAAAAGGGCTTTCTTAACTTTATGGTTAGTACTCTAAAGTATGAATACAGCTGTTTTCCATAACTAATTATTGCTGAAAATATATGATGACTTGCCAGGAATTCATGGAGGAGTTCTGCATTTAATTTAGCGGTGTAAAGATGCAAGAATTGAGATTTTACTAGCTAAATAGTCGTACAATAAGAAATGAAAATGTTACATGGATATGATCGCATCTCCTATTTATCATCACTACATATTCCTTGATATTATAATTTTTCATTTTGTAAGGTACTGTAAACAAATAGATTTCATGCATTGAGTTGTATAGGTAATAATAGAACAGGAAATGATATAGATGGCAACAACACATACAAAATTCAGCATATTTCAACACAAAAAACTTCAAACTGCATTCATTTACAACATATAAAAGAGTTCGGCATAACACAAATAAAGCTTCAAACCTTCGATCTCATTATTATTCAATTTCGACAGGAAGCATATATTAGCCGTTAAACTTCTTGCTGATCGATGAATCTTTTGAAAAGCCGTTGTATAATACGTTGGTCCTGTTGTGAAGTTGAATTGAATTGAATGAATGAATATGGCAAAAGAAAAGGTTAATATTCATACAAAATAATAGATAAGTAAAGACGCATTTCATCCAAAGGGAATGGGAATATTTCTCTTAATTGAGTCACTTAATAAATCGAGATGCTGTTAATAATTATAATATTTAAGATCTCAAAGGCTTCAAACATGAAATTGGAAGGAGAAGGTATGGTTATGACCTTTCTCTTGCAATGATACACTCAAAGATTTAAAGTCGGCGTGAATTTATTTGGCATGTTTCTACCTAAACTCTCTCTAATAACAATTCAAAGGCATCTCTCTAGAAGTATGGGCTAATAAGCAGAACTTGTGCATAACCAGATATCCCATTTTTGCTTGTGGCATATAAAGAAGAAACAAAATAATTAATAGTGTAACATGATTTGCCACCATGAAGCATTGAATCCTGCAAGCCCCGTTACGGCAGTTCATTAATGGTTGATAAAATACCTCCAAAACTCCAATATTAAAACCTATATCACAATCTAAATCAACAAAGATCATAAACATGCTATAACAAATATGAACAATACATCATCAGAGGCAAGCAACCCTTGCAAAACAATAGGGCAATTTGATAAAATACGGATAACTATAATGATTTTTAGGGGTGGAAATGAATGAGATCTGCACATACAAACAAAGAAACCTAGTATTTGATCCAAAAAAGTGAAAATGCTATTCAGAATAAACCTAGGGATAATAGAGAACGAAGCGAAAAGACATAATAAAGCTAACCACTTTGATCTCTAAAAATCGGTACCAAGTAAATGTGTTTTACTGACTGTAAGGAGTTATGGAATCTAAACTGTTATACCTATGAGAGCAAAATGTAAAGGGGTCCTATCAACTGGTTCCGACCAATGATATATAATCAAACAATACAACACAAACCCATATAAGACTTTAAACAATTCTTGAAAGATAAATAAAACCTAAGTAGTAACTGCAAAAACTTCAACCAAATATGATCTTACAAAGAACCAGATTCAAAGAGTCAGTTCCAACTTTCTCATTCAATGCTTCATGAAAATAATTAATCGTGCAACAAAAATTAAAAACCAATTAATCCCATCAGCAAAAAAAGGGATAATTACTCATTTAAAGTATGTTGATCAAACCTTTTCAAAAATAAAGGCTGTTATGAAACAAATCACAGTATTTGGTCACAGATTAATGCCTTTTATCAAAGGGTAAAAAACAGGAACGTGACAACTAGGTAAATATGATCTGGTAAAAAAGAGAAAAAAAGAAAACCTCAAATACCAAAAAAAAGAAAAAAGGGTCATGAATTTGTTGACAGGACATACAAACAAAAACCCAACAGATTTTCTTTTTCACTCATTTATACTTATTAATATGATCTTTACAAGTTTTCTACGTTGAAAAGCTAAAAGAAGGCATCGATTGATTACCTGAATGAGGGTTAAAGAATTCCACGTTGGAGTCACCGTTACTTTTATTCTCAGAACATTGTTTTCCACAAATTCATTAAAATAAATTTAGGTAACAAAGTACTCTTTTTTGGAAAATACTAATAATAATTAATAATTCCTTGAGTGTGTAAGATAAGGAGTCTCCTAAAACGAGGAAGTTGGATCAGAGCGGGAGAGAAAAAAGGAGCGGCCGTGTTTGTTTCTGTTTTGTTGACATGTATGAATTCTTTCTGTAGGCGCACACTGGTTTTTAATGGAAAATCAGAAAAATGAAGCAAACCCAATGGGAATCTAAAGAAAAAGACGGTTCTATGGATCCGTAATTTTTCCGAAATAGGAGTCCCTGCATGTCCCAGGGCCCATGCTCTATATTTCAATATTTGGGTTTCTTGATTGGCAAATCCGCAAATCAAAGTACAAATGATTTTCAAGATTCTGTAATAAATATTTAAGATATGAAATTGTTTTAATGTCAATAAATTTCATTTAGCCCGTGTTTCAATCGCATTCTAGGAAAAAAATATTATTCATGTCAAATCGATAAAAAATGTATGATTAAAAAATAAAAAAAGTTTTAGATTTGCGGGTAATATTATTTTATAGAAAAATATGTTGTTGAAATGATGTCAAATCATTGTTAAAAAATGTATTTTTTTAAAAATAATGTGGCTTAAACAAGCCCTTAATGTTCTTTGTTGAGAAAATAGGAAGAAGTCAATAGATTTGTGTGTATTTTATTAAGAATCAGAGCCATAATTTATAGGTAAGAATTAGGGATACAATAGTAATAATTTCTAGAATTGTAGGGATAAAATTGTCATTTAATAATAAACTTACCATTTACAACACTCCCCCTTAAATAATACGTTTAAAAATTTTCACCTCGTTATACCTTGTTTGATAAAAAATCAATGGGACAAAAAATCAAACGAAGAAAAATAGTACAATTATTTTGGAATATTAAAAGTAAATATTGTCTCATTAAAATCTTGCTAAAAAAATCCAGGGGATAAAATCTAAACGAAGAAAAAAGAGTACAACTACTCCTCCGATGTTGATTATTAAAAATCTTTGAGTCGACACGTTTCAATCTCATGAACTAATTTGTTGGATATCGATGTCACCATTCTTTTGAAACTCATTTGTATGAAAGAATTTTTGAGAAATATGTTACTTCATGTCACTTTTGATATAACATCATTTGAATCGTGCAATACAAGCTGCGTTATCTTCAAACAAAATATTTTATCAACTTTTGAAGATTGTAGTTACATGGTAATTTAAAAAATAACTATTGTTGATCTCTTCGAGAGTCATACATATGGGAAGTATTATTTTGAGGGTAAATGTATTACATGTTATAGTCATTCATCGCATTAAAAATATGCTTTGTCGAACTAATAAAATAGAGACTTGTAATTACATCCATCACATGATGATTTATCTACTTATACAAGTTTTTGCAAAATTCATTACGTAAAGAATCGTACGTTTCAAATTACGACTTTACTTTATCCATTTTTATTTCGCATAAATATACACCTTCAGTGTTTGGAGTGTAGATTCAGAAACTTCATATTTCTCTAGTAAATTCAATTTAGGATTGCGTCTCATTTATTTAACTAATCATTACTTCAATCGATACATTTCAATGCATTTATTTTGATGCTTTGCTATATGATGCAGTACATCACGTGTAAAATTATTGTCGACAATTTTTTCTTTTCTTGTTTGATTCTATTTCTTTCTCCATGATGATATAAGTTATTGAAATATCTCAATTTTCAAAAGATCGGGTACCTGAACCTCTTTTTGGGTTTTATAATTTGTTACGTCTAAATACTCATCAAGACTATATGCTTGCTTAATGAGACCATCTTTACTCATTGCTTCATTTTTGTTTGAAGACTTTTGTATTAAAATCGAACACTATCATGTTTCAGATATTGTTTATCTCCTTGATCCGTAAATGCATTTAAATAAATTATCTTTGAAACTTTTAGTTAGAGTGATATTTTATGGGAATTTAGATAATGATGTATTTGTATATTATTTCTAGCTTCTTAATTCCCTTCCCTAATACTAAAAGAATTGTCAAATCAAACTGACAATAATTTTTTCAGCATTATAAAATATTACCTATTTGGGATAAGAATTCAAACTATATATTTATTCTCACCATTCTTTATTCTTTTCATCTCAGTGCATTATGGTGGATCAACTTTACATGTACTTCACAATCAAAATAATTAGATGGAAAAAATATGCTCTAACCCATAAGCCAATCATAATAGGCAAAATTATGATGTTGACATAATGCATAATAGAATTCCCTAAACAAAAATAGAAATTACTTTGTTCTCAATTAAATTAATTTGATGTATTTAACAAATGATAGTGTTAAATTATTTATGGACATCTCAATTAAAACTTACTAAAATTTGAGTTTTATGCCCACTAGTTAGTGATGTTCAATAATCAATTGTCGATAAAGATAACAAATGGTATATAGGAATTCACTGGACTGAAGAATCTTTTGGTTGTTCATTGAATATCCATTTAAAACTTTTAATTTCGCATTATTGTTGATCTAGTGATGGTCTAACTGGTCATGTCAAATAGTAAATTCAAATCGAACTTAAGGTTCAATATAAGATATAATTCGATTATTTAATTTCGGAGAATATGATTAAATATTATATAATCATTTATCATTCAAGTAGTTAAAATAATCAATGTTCTCATGACATTAGTTATATGTTTTTCTTCAGGAATAAACATGAATTCAAAATGATACATTCTTCGAAACATGTGCCACTTCGAAAGTAAGTTATATTTTATTATTGCTCATTCGAAAGCAATATTTCAATATTTTTCTGAAATATTGAAAATTATATTTCAAACTCTTCCAAAGCAATCAAGTATTATTATAATAAATTATACAAAAATTTACTTTTCAGGAGTAAAAATATAAGTCATGTTAAATAGTATGTAATTATACTTTTCAAGAGTGAGTAAAATATTAATGAAAATTATAATGTACTATTTCGAGATCGCATCATACTTTAATATTGCTTCTTCAAGAGCAAATATAAAAAATTTTAATGTCATACTCTTCAGGAGCAATAATATATTATCGTTACAGTAATAAATTACGGAAAAATTTACTCTTCAGAAGTAAAAGCGTAATTTCATGTTAAATTTTATATCATTATGCTCTGCGAGAGCAATAAAATCTAATCAGAATATCAATATTTAAATACGTATGCAGAAAAATGGACATGTAAAGAAACAAAGTAATTTAATTCGTGATTTTACATAGAACTTATCAATATTTTTGAGGAATATTGAAATTATAATATCATGTTCTTTTAGAGCAATTAATATTCTTTTTTTATACATTAATAACATTGTGTTTTCTCGAGGAACATCGACACATTTTTTTATATATTAAGTTTCGTTTTCTTGAGGAACATAATGAGATACATAATCCTTGAAAGTGTAAATACAACGTTCTTCTAGAATATTGACATTAACAATTCGTTCTACCTTCCGAACTAAACAATATAATATTAAAATTTGTGCTCCACATGGGTAACTATGAAATATTCTTTTGGAATACTTGTATAACGTGGGTTGTGTTTTTTCGAGAACATCAAAACCATATTCGTTTAAAATAAAAATAACTTAAATTATATTTCTTCAGGAGCATTGAGTCAATATTCTTATGGAATATTGAAATTGTAATATCGAAATAAAATCTATAAATATTTAATCGGGTTAAAGAATATTAATTATCATGTAAATATGATGTGGATTTATAAATAAAAATTAATTACCAAACATACATTAAGAAAAAGAATGCCATATATAGAAGTTAACGAATTTGACTAGATCTTTCATTGGCTAATTTTTTTATCAACATGCAAAAGATACTAAACATATACGTGAATTTCACATATGCAGAAATTAAATGTAGAATTAATATGTGGCAGATCCAAACGACAAAGTTAAAATTGAATAATATGTGAAAAAAATGATCGTGTATGAATCAAAAAGCGTGAATTAATGCATTCAGATTATACATATAAACGTGAATTAGAATTAATATGCATACCAACAAAAAAGTAGAGAAGAAGAAGCAATCTCGTTATGATATATATATACATCGAAATATTTCTCATGCTACCAAATTAATTTTTGTACGCATGACAAATATTCATGCTTATAAAAAAAATTATTACCTTCACTCAACTTTGAAAAACTAAACTATCGTGCTGATAACGTGTTTTGAAAATAGAAGAAAATAGATAAAAATCAATAGATTTGTGTGTATTTTATTAAAAATCAGAGCTCTATATTTATAAGTAAAAATCAAGGATACAATGGTAATATATTTAGGGTTGTAGGGGTAAAATAGTTATTCACTAACAAACCCTATATTCTTGAAATTTTGATAAAAAAATTAATTTCCTGATAAAATTTTGACAAAATAAGGAAGATGGTAAATAAATATAAAATTTTAAATAAATTTGTTTACTAAATAAATTTATTATTTAAGGTAAAAAAAATTTTGGCTTTTCAACCATGTAAATCCACAATGTCTTTCAAATTATTAGGAACTGATATTTGTTGGAGAAAATGCAAGTTGTACATTTTGCATAATAATAATAACATGATATATAAATAACTAAATAGCAAATTAAAAAAAAAATGAAGTTCAGAAAAAGATGGCATTTTTTATTCCTTATTAGTATATATGTTAAAAAATCAAATACAGTTCACAGTGATTTCTATTACGCACACGATCATTTCGAGTTGTCTTCTTATGGCCTAAGGATCATATAATATCTTAAATATTGTACTACATGCATAGTGATTTGCCTAGAGTAACTCTGAAATATTTATCATGTTGAGAATCTAGGTTAGAATTTGGTTTTTATACTCGGTTATGGCCCAAGACTGCTTAGGCAGTGGCCTTGGACGTCAATATATAAGCAGCCTATAAAAATTGAAAGTTCAAAATTTCTGTTTTCTGTAAAATAAATAATATTGTAAAAGAAAAGTTTATTAAGGTTTAGAGATGGATGACAATTACATCCTTGCAACCCTAGAAATAATTACTATTGTATCCATAATTCTACCTTATAAATACAGGACTTTGGTTCTTAATAAAATACACACAAGCCTATCGACTTCTCTCTGCTCTCTTCTTCACTTTTATAATATCTTATTAGCATGATTTTTTTTTTCCAAAAAGGTAATATATATTTAGCTCAACGTAGATTCAGTAACTTCTTGTCACGGTTAAAGAATT